AGAGTCTAGAGCCCCGTGACTCGGTTTGTGTAGTCCAGAGCAGGGGCACAGGCATGACCAATCTCACACAGCTCCAGTGCAGGGGCACAGGCATTACCAGTCACACTCATCTCCAGTGCAGTGCCCCAGGTATGACCAATCACACTCAGCTCGAGTGCAGGGGCGCATGCATGACCAGTCACACACAGCTCCAGTGCAGTGGCCCAGGTATGACCAATCACACTCAGCTCCAGTGCAGGAGCGCAGGCATGACCAATCACAATCAGCTCCAGTGCAGCAGCAGCGCAGGCATGACCAATCACACTCAGCTCCAGTGCCGTAGCACAGGCATGACCAGTCACACTCAGCTCCAGTGCAGGAGCGCAGGCATGACCAATCACACACAGCTCCAGTGCAGGAGCGCAGGCATGACCAATCACACACAGCTCCAGTGCAGTGGCCCAGGTATGACCAATCACACTCAGCTCCAGTGCAGGGACGCAGGCATGACCAGTCACACTCATCTCCAGTGCAGAGCCGCAAGCATGACCAATCACACTCAGCTTAAGTGGAGGGATGCAGGCATGACCAATCACATCCAGCAAACCCTGTACAGTATGCACATTACTCAATCCTTTCACTTTGAATCAATTTTCTTTAAGCAAAATTTAACAATTCCCAAGAAATCAATTGACAGGTATTTTATTAAGAACATAATTAACATCAGAAATGGGCCAAATGGCCTCCTCCTAACCAGCATTTTTGATAATCAGTAGTTAATTGATCTGAGTATCTCATGTGGCTCTGTGGCTAAGGATCTGTGCCTGTGGCTGGAAGGTTGCCAGTTTGTATCCCGCGACCGTCAGAGGAATCCTACTCTGTTGGGCCCCTGAGCAAGGCCCTTAACCCCAGCTGCTCCAGGGGCACCGTATAAATGACTGACCCTGTGCTCTGACCCCAAGTCTTCTCTCCCTGTCTGTGTGTCTCATGGAGAGCAAGCTGGGGAATGCGAAAACACAAATCCCTAATACAAGAAATTGTATATGGCCAATAAAGTGATCTGATCTATCCGTTTTTTGAAAGAATTCAGGGTATCGGCTTTAACAACATGGCTGGGCAGCTTGTTCCACACTCCCACCGCCCTCTGTGTAAAGAGGTGCCTCCAGTCCTGACTGCAGGAACTCATCCAGCTGTGTCTTGACAGAAACCAGGGTACCGGCTTCAACAACAATCAAATGACGCCCGTTCCCATTTTTAGAAGACCTTCCAGGTAGTTTCCACCGGTGTCCCGTGATTCCTGTTTCACTGTTCACTGTCAAAGCCTTTGAGGATTCCGAACACTCGTAGTGGGTCTCATCACAGTTCTCTGGTCAACTTTCAGTTCCCACAGCAATCGGTGTCCTAATGCGTACATCCTGTGAAGGTCCCACTGAAAGCACCGCTCTCTCTCTCTGCGACGTGACCGACGGGACAAAACCACCAGGGTTATCTCGCCAGATGAGGCTTTTGATCGTTTGGGCAAATTTGCGCATGCAAATCTCCGGTCTTCGGCATCGGAGGAGCGGACAAACCGCGTCTGGCGCTGTTCCCGAGACTCGCCCGGCTGGCGGGAGCTCGATTTCGACCCCGCATGCAGCCTCGGATCAGAACCACGAGAGAGGCCCAGCACACAGGACGGGGGGGGCGTGGGCTCTTTAGTCTCGCACGTGGGAGACCACCAGGGACCGGATCCGGACCCCCGACCCAACTGTCTATCCAGAACGGAGGGGGGGGGAGGGCTGTGAAAAGTCTCTAAACGCATCCTGCAGACCCTTCCCACCTTTCAGGAACGGAAGTTAAAGGGAACCACTGCAGTCGAGGCAGGAGACCTGAAAGACCCAGATCACTAGATGTGCTTGAAAACTGGGCAGATCTGCCCGGCAGAAGCCACAGAGCACCGCAGAGGACCGGCAGGAAGGTCTAGCCAGTCCACAGACCGGCGTGGCTTGCACAGAAGAAAAAAAAAACCTTCCCACAGCCTCATCACGAAAGGCAACGTCTCAAGTATGCAAAACAAAACCCTGACAAACCAGTAACCTTTTGGAACAAAGTGCTGCGGCCTGTCAAAATGGTAATTGGGTTTTTTGGCCGCAACGCGCAGAAGAAATGTTTGGAGAAAAACAGGTGAAGATTTTGGAGAAAAGAGCCCCTTGCCCGCCGTTAAGCTGGGCAGAGGAAGTAGCGAACAAGTGGAAGAAGAATGGACCCAGCTCAGTGCCAACAGATCCTAGAAGCTCATGTCCCAGAGGCAGCGAGGAAAGTGAGGTTGAGAAGAGGATATTTCAGCAGGACACTGGTCTGCAACATACCTCAAAATCAGCCGCGGAGTTCTTACGGGAACGAAAGATTAAGCTTTCGGAATGACCTTCATAGTCCCCACACTGGAATCGTTTTTAAAATCTGTGCGGGGATCTCAGTCATGCAGTGGGTTCAGGAACACTCTCCCAGCTCAGAAATACCACTGTACACTACTGTATTTCTGACCTGGGAGCGTTCGGCAAGGAAGAGAGGGGAGAAACCCCACAAGCTCGAACAGAAAAACTGTTCTCTGGCAGCGGGAAACGTTTGAAAGCTGTGATTTCGGCCAATCAGGATGTTACAAAGGACAGACAGGGTGCCCAAATGTGTGCACGTGCCATATTCGCCATATTATTTTATTAGGAAAATCTACAAAACTGTAAATAGATACTAATTGTGCAGAAATATATCGTGTTCAAGTGTGCACCACGCAGAGGTCGTGTCAATTTCTTTTCACTTAGGGATTCACTAAAACATACGACTTCACCAGAGGGTGAACAGAGTTTTGCACACAACTGCATATTTAGTCAACTATTTATGTTTACAGATAGTATATCAGATGTATCAGAGGGCTTGCAAACCCTGTAGTAGCTACAAAGGAAGTAGGATTTACAGATAAAGAGTTACATGCATCTATAACAACAAAATACAAACACAAAATGGGAACCACTCAGCTAGAAGTGGCTACTTGTGAAACAGGCTGTGGTGTGAATATTCTTCTGAATAGTGTGAGGAAGCAGTTAAAAAGACAAACGAAGAGTTATGATACACAGCTAAAGACTAAGTATTGTGAAGTTCTCCACATCCGTAGTCAAGGGGTGTTGTGTTCAAACTGTGTAACTTGTTAGGAAGTACGACCACATTTAGAATATTGTTCTATTCTGGTTCTGTTAATGAGAAGACACCGCGGCTCCGGAACCAGACTAGAGAAGGACAACCAGAGACATGCTGTGGGTGGAAGGAAAGTCCTACACTGGCAGGCTGAAGGAACTGGATCTCTTTAGTCTTCAAAATCCTCCACCACTCTGACAAACTGAACCCAGCAGACCCCTTTGGAATGAACAGTGAAGCACCAGCCTGAGGACTCCGGCAGAAACAGCAGTATGTGGAAGAGCATCTAGGACTAAGAACCGGAGGCTCTTCTGTACACAAAGGGTGGTGGGAGTGTGGAACAAGCTGCCCAGGCCTGTTGTTGAAGGCGATACCCCGACTTTTTTCAAGACACAGCTGGACACAATCCTGCGATCAATAAACTGCTGGCTACCAAACGGACCAGATGGACAAAGATCAGCTGCAAAGTGGACTTTCGCAAGTACAGCAGGATAATCCCGTTGCAGTAGGGGGGCTGTAACAGAAGAGCACTCAGACCCCGGCGCGTTCCTGTCTGCCTCTCCGCCCGTCGTGGGGGCCAGATACTACGTGTGTGTGTGAGAGCCAGTACACTCCTCCCACCAGGCAGACCGGCCGGTTCCAGCGCGACACCCCTCAGCGGGTTCAGTAAGGAAGCGGCGGCGCGGTGCTTTACATACAGGCGCACCTGCGGGGCTGGGAGAGGCGAGAGAGCGGCGGAGAAGCAGCGAGATGGGGCAACGGCGACAGGGAGTGGGGGCGGGGGGCCGAGACTCGGGGTGCGGGGAGCCGCGCAGCCTGTTGCCCGGCCGGGTGTGAGCCGGAGCGCCGAGAGACCAGCAGCCATCAGAGTGTCCTTGAGCACCAGCGACTGCAGACCGCCTTGTGTCCTTCCTTAATCGGTCCTTCGCCCCTCCTCCTCCCCCGTCTCCCGGCCAGCTGACAGGCGCACACGTACAGGTGTCACCGGGGCTCGGCAGACTCGGAATTCAACACACCGGCACGCCAGAAACAGGCTGAGCAACTGAGCGTCTCCGTCCCAAACCCCGGAACACGACACGACAGCCGTGATAATCGTCTGCACTGCGCCGATGTATATATAAAAAAAGATTAATAAATAAAAACGCTTTTCTGCACCCCAAAGGACGGCCCGCTGCGCTATCCCCTCTCTCGCTTGTTTGTTTCTGAGGAGACCGATACCCAGTATCGATTAACGTGAAACCGGTTATACCGATGAGGATACGCCGACAGGCTCTGGATCTGGATTGTTTAAATAAACAATAAAACACACAAAAGCTGGATGTTTAACATTTCTCAAGAGACAATCCATATATTTGAAACCCTCAGTTTAATCACCTAAAATTAAATCCACTGTCACGCCAATGCAGTCGAACATCAATATTACATAAGAACTGTTGTTACTGCCGTAGGAACAGTGTGATTCATTATACAGCACACAAAGCTCAGTGAATTTGAAAAGACTGAAAAACAGGGAATTATACTCACCGCTTTGAGCTGGTCCAGGCGGTCTTTCATCTTTAAAGTTGAAAAATTCTCCTTACCGACTGACCAAAAACAGTAAAACCGTTATTTATAATATTTTGAGCACTAAGTCCAGACAGGACAGGAGTTTTCAGAACTTTCTTCTTCCCAGGAAGATCGTTCGAACTTTTCTCCTCAGTTCGTGTTTTTTTTTCTCCTGATTTATTTTTGCGAGTCGTGACGTTTCACTGGGTTTAAACGTTACGGCTCTGCAATATGGAGGTTCTCCGCTGTCGGTGGCCCCGGTCCTCTGAGTCTATCGGCTCAGAGGGGATTAAACCAGCAGTTAGGCTCCCTGCGCTTAATCTCCCCCTCCTCCCTCTCTCTCTGCGGTCTTGTAGAGAAGCGCTGTGCCGTCCGCACATGCCCAGTCCGTGGAGCTGAACCTTTTAATTCCTGTTTACGCCACCACACCCGGACCCGTTTAATACCTGGAGGGAGCCGACCTGCCTGCATCTTAAAGGGACC